CTTTTAAAGGAAAAATAATTATGGTGGGTCACCCTTATTACTCAGGGGTATAAGAAATATAAGAAAAACTATTCTCATACCTACCGAATATACACAAAAAATTTCATATAARTCKDTCAAGTCGTTTCGGAGAATAAGAATAACAAACACTGTGACAGGGGAATTTTATAGAGATAAAGATTTATATATAATTTTTTTTCTCTTTTTTTTGAATATTAAGAAAAGCTTACAATATTTAATAAAAGCCTTACACTAATTGTTTTAAAATTCAATTATTTGAACTATGCGATCCAACAATTCTCAAATCGTACTAATATTTTTATATGCTGTAATTATTAATAAAAAATACTCAAAAAATGTAACCATTAACTTGTAAATTATATGAAAAATAAGATAAAATACAAATGAACAAATATCGTGTTGCATTTTATCTTTAAAAAAATAAATTTTTTATTGTTTTAGGGTTAATTTACAGAAATATACTAATTACGTTAATACTTGTAGGAAAGAAGAGATATAGCATTAGTGTAAAACTAAAAAAGCTATAATATTTATAAATAATTTAACAATTAATTATAGAATCGCAACTTAACATGTTTTGAATTATACATATATATGAATTTAATATACCACAAAATATCCAAATAATCATCAAAATGAATTTAAATCAATAAAAGTTAAATTTTTATTAAAATTACATATTAATTCATTGAAGGTTATGAACATAGCCGATGCTTGCCTCGTTTGACTTTGACTTTACCTACGTCTATCTCTCTCTTTGTCTACTAATTATATATTATAAATTTTTGATAAGTCTAATTAAAATGCATATTAACATTACAATATAATATATTAGGGATCCTATAGGAGGGACGCGCCATGTACATGTTGGGGGACCGGAACTCGATTTTGTGCGCGAATGATTCAAACATTGAAATAATTATGAAATAATGAATTGCATCAAATACAGAAAAAAAATGAACTATATTTAATGATAATTAAAAATTTATATTAAAATAGAATAGGTTACACGAAAAAATTATTATAAATTCAAGCGGTCCCCCAAAATTTTCAGCCAATGGCACATGAGCTGAATATGAATGGCGCATCCCTCCTACAGGATCCCTATAATGTATTAACCCTTAACGCTCCTAGTGTGCCTCCCAGGCACTACCGATGTACGGCGTTTATTTCGTTTTATTCCATTCTTGTGAAACAAGTGGGAGTTGCCGGTAGATAACCACAAATTACCGTTGGAGCGTTAAGGGTCAAATATGTTAGGTTACTAGAAAATTCAAATAATTATTGAGTATATTTATTTATATATTGATTATTCGATTAAAATTATTAAAAAATAATAGTTAAATGCATCTCAAATCTTGGGGAATCGTAACTACAATACATGTACATATGTATATATTAAAAACGTCATTAAGACATCATACTATTCCTAAGAGTTTAGAATACATCGAGTATATATATATATTTTTAATTAATTCCTGGTAGTTTAAATGAATTATATTTTTTTTGAAATAAAAATTTAGAAAAAATACACCATGGCAAGTGTGCCGTCGCGAAAGGTTAATATACATTAACGATATCCCATAAAAATGATTTCAAAAGTAAAAAGTAAAATTAAATAAAACATAAATTTTGATGCCCAATTAGTTTTTATTTTTTGTTTATTATGTTCATTTACACTCTGTTATTGTTTTAGTAAAATATTTTTTTAAGCTTTTTATCGAAGACATTATTGCGATTTAAATTTTTTCTCTCTGCCCTACCTTCTTGGGTCCCTCGCGAGTTTTGCCTGATCGATATTTCCCCATCTTTCTCCCTTCACTCAAATAACGTACTCTCCTCAAAACTTTTTATTTTTTCTTTTACTTGAACATTTTTGGTACACTCCTAAAAGAAGTTTCACTTCAAAAAATTGTTAAGTTTATTCAAATCGCTCTCTGGTATTACGAGATATTATCTCTTACCCTTATCATTTCTTTTTTGTTCTTTCTTTTCTGTTTACATACGATCTTCTTGATGATTTTAGTAAGAGAAACATTAACACATTACTTATAGCAGTCTGCTTGCGGAACACGCTTTAAGGGCCCGCATATTTTTGGGTTTCTTCTATGTATAATAACATCACTCAATTCAAAAATTCCGCTATTATCACTGACCAGAAAGAGCCAGAAATAGAGGGTCAGGTAGGCCCCCTCCGATTTTTTTCAAATTTTGTATACTTATAATAGTCCATAATATTGTAATATTCGTAGAAAAAAGACTGGACCGGGACTCGAATCCGGATCTTTCGCTTACCGTGCGACTGCTCTTATCCACTGAGTTATCCAGGGTCCACCGACTAATCCCTTTCCACGAATGCTTAATAAGTTTGGCATGGAGGAGCTCGTCCTACAATATTTATTGTGCCTTTAAACTTGGCGTATACATCCAGCTGTTTGCTAAAAAAGGCGAATTAAAATTTTACTTTTTTTACACTTTTTTTTTAAATTTCATATTTTTTTAGCTGTAGCAGTGCAGTAGTCACAATAGCGGCGCTGTATGTACCTCTGATGTCACCCATATCTATATCTTATTTCTATAGTATGTTTTTCTTTTTTTTTCTTTCTTTTTCTTTCTTTTTTTCCTTCTTTTTTCAAGTGGAAACTTCTTTAGAATGGGAATGATTTGAAAAAAATGAAATACGGCTTGGCGTAGCGCTGTGGCGAGCGGTGGCAAAACGGAAGTAAGAAGAAAAAAGAGACAAACATAAAGGCTTGAGCCTGCGAGAGAGTGAGACAGCATATAGCTATATAGTTTTTCCTATTCTCGGTCTTTGCTTCGTAGTTCCCACTCCTGGCTACTAAGCTTTGTATATGTTTGTTTTGTGTACGACTGCATATTACGAACATAGACTCATATAATATTGATACTAGACCTGTATAGTGGTTAATCGAAGAACTACCTTAAAAACATGAGTTAGTTCTTCGACTGGCCGCTAGATTTCGCATTTTTCTCACAAGCAAAACTGTTTTATGAAAACTATAAAAAGACCTCCAGCATTAAGACAATTTACGATCCTTTATTACTGGGTGATACTGGTAATATAATAACAAATCTTTTCAGTGTAATGCAGAGTTAATACAACTGCGATGTGTAAGGTTGATGGTATTTTTTGATTTTAATATAATATCAATAAAACATCAATATAGAATATTTGTTTGAAGAATGATAGGTCCTTCGCACCCTTTTACTTATTAAGGGGGTCATCCCATGTGATGGGCTCAAAAAATCGATTTTTTTGTTTTTCATAAATTGCTTTCTTAACATGTCTAAAAAAATACGGTAGTAAAGTGATTTTTGAAAATTCGAAGTCGTTTTAAAGATACAGCAGGTAGAAGAAAGAGCTGTTCGGAGCGCTGAGTTGGCAGTTGGAGATACTGTAGTAACAAAAAAAGAATGTGTGGGCCACGTAGAAAAGAGAATGGGAACACGACTTCAGGCTGTTAAAAAGGATAAAACAAATACAGGAATCGGTGGAAAAGGACCAGGTAAACTTACTGATAAAGTTATTCAAGAAACAACGAAATTCTACGGATTAGCTATTCGACGTCATCCAGATTCGCTTAAAGATATGAAAAAGGAAGTTTGGGCAACGTATTATCACAAATGTTCTTCAGATGAAAACTCTCAACATCAATTTTGTCCAGAAGGCGAAGACAGTTGGTGTAAATGGCGTAAGGCTGAAGCTAAGAATGAGCTCGACCAATTTCATCACGATAAACCACCTCTAATATCAGAAGTACAAGTAGCTATCAAACCGGTTTTCGAAGATTTATCGAAAGACGAATTATTAATTCGTTGTTTAGGAGCAGAGACACAAAACAATAACGAATCTTTGAATTCGTTGATTTGGACTTTTGCTCCTAAGCATCTTCATTCTGGCCCCAAGATTGTTGAAATTGCTAGCTACTTATCAGTTATCATCTTTAATGAAGGTTTTGACGGTGTTTTAAAAGTAATGTCGGTTATGGGATGCCCCATTGGCCGCGAAGCCCATACGTATGTTGAGAAACGTGATAAAAAGCGAATCTCACGTTCTGAGCGACGCGTAAGTGATGTCGTTAAACAAGCCAGGATTGACTCAAGAGCTGAACAATCTGCTTTAAAAGAGTTTCAAGAGGAACAGGAAGGAATACTCTATGGACCAGGCATCGCCGATTGAGGGTAAGTTGAGATTTTCATAGTTTTACATGGACTTGAAACTTTAAACGCGTTTTTCTCAAACTGTGTTTTCCAAACTTTCCTCCATCGTATCTCAAAAACGGCTTGACCGAATGACTTAAAATTTATAGGGCACACTCAATACATGTAAACGCATGGAATGAACTATTATCAATTGAAAATTTCCAAAATTTCGATTTTTTTATAGCAAAAAACAAAAAAAACGCAAAATTCGCAACTTTTATTTCAAATGTCTACCAAAAGTCCAATTTTTTGTATATTCATTTGATAATAGTCTATTCCGTGTATTTAGGCTTACAGATTAGAACGCCATTTTTTTTTTCGTTTCAGATAAGCCAATCAGCCGGAATCGTGGAAGAAGTGCGAGCTCATTTTTTCGAGGCGGTGGTGTTCAGAACGCTTTAACTCAAGTTCTACACAATATTTTTAGCTTAAAATTTATATTTATACTGTCGAAATATATGTTAATAAATGATAATAAACTTAAAGCTCTATCTATTTACTGGTCGTAGAAAAAAAATCCTAAAAAATCTCTAAAAAACAGGCCGTCACATGGGATGACCCCCTTAAGAAGTTGCTAGGAGTAGTGGAGCTTCACAATAAATGTATTAAATGAATATTTAAAATAGAATACATTTTTAATAAGTAATAGTATTGAATTCATACAGAGAAAACTTCATAACGTTAGAAGCACACCGACTGTACAAACATACCAAATATAATTTTGAATATCATGTTTGAAATTCGCGCCTATTAAGATGGGCAGGTCAGGTGGCGCGCATTGACAGGGTCGAACGGGAAAAGACCACTGGGTAGAGCGAGACGTAAATAAGGAGGACAATATTAGGAGGGATTTTAAAGAAATAGGCTACGAAGATTGCGAATAGAGAGGATTTGCTTCAATGACTTTTCAAGTTCTTAATGCTAATTAATAATTATGATAATATTATTATAGAATTATAATGTGTTTCTTTTACAACGACTTTTGAAGAGAAAATTTTGTTAGAATCTTTTGATTCAAAACTCGATGAAGCAAAAAACTACGACCAAAATTGTTCCCTTTTTTTAAAGACATCTAAAAGTACTAGTTGCAATAAAAAAAATATTTGTGTGTGCTGACTCATGATAAAGATATCTCAAATTCATAGAAAGACTATCATCTACCTGAGTTACAAAAAAGGATATATTATATTTACTTAGCTTAGGACGGCATATCTTTCCGTAGACAAGCATTCTAATTTTTATTTCTATCTATGGCTATCGCATTCAGCATTCTATCTTAATTGGTACAATTTGAAAAGTGATAGTTTTTGTTAGCTAACCCTATTCTAAGATCATATCGATGAACTTTGATATATATGGTAACAATATTATAATAAATAAGTCCTAAAATTATTTTATTCTTGATACTGTGTATTCGTCTTATTCTCTAAAAACTTTGTTTTTTGAAGGTTTTACTTCTAACACGTATGATTTGCACTCATGATATTTTCTCTCTTTATTTTTCTTTGGAAGTCTAGGCTCTAGATTCAGAGCTAAGAAACTGCGAAGAATTTGGCAAAATAACAGATTATATGAGAACAAGCAGAAACTAAACAAAGCTACCAGAGTATTAAGAAAATCTCTGCAAAACTTTAAAAATAAAGGTCTCCAAAAATTCTTAGGAACTTAGTTCTAACATCGAAACTTTGACTATTCTCTTTGAACGGCAACCAGGCGCTTTTGAAATCTCTTCGCCTCATACCTAGCTGATATATTTAAAACCATCTCTCTACTTCATTTATTAAGGAAGAAGAAATAAGGAATTTTCTGAACATACTGTTTTAATTGTCTCAACAAATTTGTACTTTAATGGAAATTAAATCAACAATCGGAGCAAACGCAAATGCAAAATAGGTTCCAGGTCAAGACCTAATTAACGGAAAAATAGTCAAAGAACTGCCAAAGAAAGGGTTCACGTAAATAGCTTCCTAGTTACTATCCAACTTCCTGGAAAGTAGCTGTCGTAACCCTTATTCATAAGCCAGGAAACCAGCACATGAAGTTACGTCATATCGACCAATCAGTTTTTTATCTGCTCTATCCAATTTGTTCAAAAAAATGCTAATTAATCGTTTCTTCGATGCACTTGATGCTCTAGTATTCCCAAAAGTTCAAGTATTGGAAACGCCATTCCACAATCAAGCAAACTCATCCTATAACTCGTCATTTATCAGAAGATCTCGAACGGTAAAGATACAATTCAGCAGTATTCCTGGACATTATACTAGTTTTCGATAGTGTGGCAAACTGGATTGCTAAATAAATTCAGAAAACGTTGCCACATTATCCTTTCTATCTGCTCTTTAAATCTTAACCCTTTATGGGTCCGTGTAACTTTCAAGTAACATATTCATTTTTCAGCATTTTACTAAACAATTTTAGTTTTTTTTAATGAAATGTCATATACATCTTTATTTTTAAATCTTTTCGAAACAACTAATACAATATTCATGACGGTTGCTAGCATAATTAACATAAAATAACAAAATAAATGTTGTACCAACTGTCTGTAGTAGAAGCAAACGAAACCTTTTTTTTTCAATTGATATTATTTTTGAGGTAAAAACTTCTTTAGAATGGGAGTGATCTGAAAAGTAAATAAACGGTAACGCAGCTATGAAATGAAGCTATGTAACGAAGCTGTGTAACGAAGCTATGTAACGAAGCTATGAAACGGCTGCTATACTAAATAATGAGAGAAAAAGAGACAAACATATAGGATTTAGCCTGCGAGAGAATGAGACGGAATATAGCTATACACTTTTTCCTATTCTCGGTCTCCTCTTTATGCTATGCTTCGTAGTTATCGCTCCTGGTTTTATATGTGTGTGTTTGTGCGCGACTGCATACTACAAAGCGTGGACACGTATTCTTTTGATACTCGAAATGTTTGTAACGATAGAAGGGTAGAAGAATAAACAGAGATATTATTGTCTACAATATTTTACAAAAAAATGAAATGATTATCAGATACATCAGAGAAAAAAAAATAAACAACATTGTAGAATATTTTTCTTATAAATATCCAAAGACATGTTTTTTAATTATAATGTTTGCGTATTTAGGAAATTTATACCAATTTTTCAATAAAATAGAAAAGTTTTTAAATAGAAGAAACTAGACACGTGACAAAAACAAGTAAAACCTTATTTACTTTATATTTCCAATAAAAATACAATAATATAACTTATTTTACAAATATCGAAAAAAAATATAGAAAATAAATTTATAAAAAATTTTTAATATTATAAAATAAAACAACGAAAATAGAAATAGATTTTAAAATCGTTGTAATTCAAAACCCGATGAAACGAAAAAGATACTACTACAATTGTTCCCTTCTTTAACAGCATCTACAGTTATTAGTTGCAACACAAAAAGAAATACTTGTGTATGCTAACCCATAATAAAGATATCTCTCATTCACAGAAAGTGTGAAAAGTGTACAAGAAAAAAAAATTATCTACCTGAGTTTCAAAAAAAATATATTACATTTACTTAGGTTAAGATAGGATATCTTTCCACCGACAAACATTCTACCATTTTTGTTTCTATCTATGGCCATATCATTCAGCATTCTATTTTTATTGCTTGAATTTGGAAAAGTGTACTTTTTATCAGCTATTTCACCCAGAGACCATACCGGTGATCTTTATTATATATGCTAATAATATTATAATAAATAAATCCTACAATTATCTTACTCTTAAAACTGTCCATTCGTCTCATTCTCTCGAAACTTAGATTTTTGAAGTTTTCACTTCTAACACGTGTGATCTGCATACATGATTTTTTGAAGTGAAAACTTCTTTAGAATGGGAGTGATCTGAAAAGTAAATAAACGGAAACGGAGCTATGTAACGAACCTATGAAACAGCTGCTATACTAAATAATGAGAGAAAAGAGAAAAACAAATAGAATTACGGCTGCGAGAGAATGAGACGAAATAGAGCTATACAATTTATCCTATTCTCGGTCTCCTCTTTATGCTATGCTTCGTAGTTATCGCTCCTGGTTGTATATGTGTGTGTTTGTGTGCGATTGCATACTACAAAGAGTGGACACATATTATTTCGATACTCGAAATGTTTGTAGGTAGGAGCGATAGAAGGGAAGAAGCATAAAAAGAGATAAGCACGTAGGTATGCGACAAAAGTATAAGGTCCAAATGAGTCGACGGTGAAAATAAAGAAAGATGGTGCGTGGTCTGTTTTTATTTTACCAAACGTGGTATTTCTTTTCTATTTAAAAATGTTTCTATTTTATTAAAAAATTAATATTAAATTATTTATTTCGCAAATATTGTAATTAACAATTATAAAATATATAGAATATAATAAATGTATTGTCTGCAATATTTTACAAAAAAATGAAATAATTACCAGATACATCAGAGAAAAAGAATTAAACAACATTGTAGAATATTTTTCTTATAAATATCCAAAGACATGTTTTTTAATTATAATGTTTGCGTATTTAGGAAACTTATTTATTGACAAAAACAAATAAACCTTATTTACTTTATATTTCTTATAAGAATAAAATAATATAACTTATTTTACAAATATAGAAGAAAAAAAATATAAAAAACAAATTTTAAAAATAATTTTTAATAATATAAAATAAAACAACGAAAATAGAAATAGATTTTAAAATCAATGTAATTCAAAACCCGATGAAACGAAAAAAATACGACCACAATTGTTCCCTTCTATAACAGCATCTACAGTTATTAGTTGCAACACAAAAAGAAATACTTGTGTATGCTAACCCATGATAAAGATATCTCACATTCACAGAAAGTGTGAAAAGTGTAAGAGAAAAAAAAATTCATCTACCTAATTTTCAAAAAAATATATATTATATTTACTTAGGTTAAAAGATAGGATATCTTTCCACCGACAAACATTCTACCATTTTTGTTTCTATCTATGGCATTCAGCATTCCATCTTGATGGATAGAATTTTGAAAATATTAGTTTTTGTCAGCTACTTACACCCCAAGGTCGGTTCCTTACCATGAGAAAAGAATTATATAAAACAGGGAAGGTCTGTTGAAATTCGATCTACATTTATTATCTTTATTATCGATGCGATAATATTCATGCCTGTAGTTTTTTTTTTACAACGTGTCATATCTTTTTTATTTAAAAATGTTTCTATTTTATTGAAAAATTAGTATTAAATTCTTTATTTCGCAAAGATTATATTAAATAATTATAAGGTACATAAAATATATAATAGTTGTACTGTCTGAAATATTTAAAAAAAAAAAAGGATTACAAGATACATCAGAGAAAAAGAATTAGATAACACTGTAGG